GGATCGCCGCCTCCCCTCGCCTGTTTTGCCCGTCGTGCCGCCGGGGGGAGAGCGGTCAGCCTGGCGGAGCGCGCGGCTGCCCTTCCGAGGCGCTTCGGCGGGTCGGGAAGATGGGCTGCGGGAACCTCGGGAAGCTCAGCAAAGGCAGAGTCCTGCGCCCGGGATGGAGTGAGGCCCTGGAGCAGGAAGGGCTGGAACGCGGCTTTGGGGCGAAGGACGAGTTGGACGTGAGTCAGGCAGCGTGTCCAAGGGCGGCTGGGCTGCCCCAGCGAGGGTGGCCGGCAGGGCTGAGGGGAAGGGAGTCTTCCTCGGTTTGGCCTTTGGGAAACCGCGGTCCTGCCTCCAGTCTGGGACTCTGCAGTATGAGGAATGTATATATGTGTGTATATACGTAAGTATGCATGTATGTATGTGTATATACACACAGCTAAGTGCTCAGAGGGGCTGTGGGACCTCAGTCCTCGGGGACAGGCAACCCCAGACTGGACGTGGCTCTGAGCAACCTGGTTTGAGCAGGGGGTTGCACTGGGACCCTCCAGAGATCCCATCTGCGCAGGGGTCTGTGGCGGTGGAGGTCTTTGCTCGAAGCAGGGCTGACCCCAGAGTGAGGCTCGGAGCCCGGTCCGGTTGGCTTTTGGATCTCCCTGGTGATGGAGAGACCGCGGTTACTCTGGTCCCCGTCCCAGCTCCCGTGAAAGGTTTTTTCCTTATGTCTAGTTGGAATTTCTATGTCAGCTCGTGTCCTTTCCCTGTGCTCCCCTGAGACAAGTCTGGGGTCATCTTCACCATAACCACTAATTAATCAGCTGAAAACTGCATTTTCGATTCCCTCCTCAGTCTCCTCAAGGCTGGATGAGTCCAGTTAACCCAGCGTCTCCTTTTGCGCCGTGCTCTGCTGCCAACATCACCATTTTGGTGGCCTCCGCTGGACTGGCTGGGGTAGCTGGTGAGGCTGGCAGGCGCCTCTGGAGGGGATCTGCTCCAACCCCCCTGCTCACGCTGGCTTTAGGGATGCTGCACGGAATGAGCAGGACGAGGAACGGTGGCCGCTTGTTCCCCAGGCTAGATGTGGGTGAGTGGGACGAAGGGAGGGATGCAGTCACCTTCCTGGGAGGTGGCGATGCATTGCTTCTCTAGGCTGAGCTCGTTGCACCCGCTGAAATGACTTTCATCTCTGGGTAAATGGAAAAGCTTTCCCTCCTACCTAGCAGCTGGTAAGAAGGCAAAATCCTCGCATCCCAGCAAGGAGGTGGAAAAAAATCCCTGACACCTCTGCCAGGATTTGGGGCGTTTTTGCTTTGAAAGGCAGCGAGAGTTGGAAGAGTTTTCGAGGCAGGGTTGCGGGCAGGGCTAGCTGAATCTCGCTGGGCTGGGAAGGAGAACCTGTGAAGCGTTCGGTGTTCAGACGCGTTCGGCGTTGCCACCACCCTTGGCCGGGTGCCGTAGCGGTGACCCCTGGCAGGTCCTCACCGCAGGCTGTGGAGATGTGACCATCAGCTGCGTGGCTCTCAGCCTTCCCTGCAGCTTCTGGGTGTCGAGGCTCCCTGGCGGGGTGCAGCACCGGGCGCTGCTTGTTCCACGGGCCTGACAGTAGCCTGGTCCTAAGGGTGGTTGGACTCGATGGTCTTAAAGGCCTTTTCCAACCGAAATGATTCCACGAAGCTTCAACCAGAGAAGGTCACTTCTGAAGCCTGGGCTGCCCCAGCAGTGCTGGTGAGGCAAAACCAGCCTGGCCCGTTGTGCCTCTCGCGGCGCGCTGGGTGTTTAGACTCGGTGCCTCCGCTTTGACGTGAGTTGAGGTCTGTAAAAGGTTGTTGTTCTGACTTCTTAGAACTGACAGGGAAATCCACCTCGGGGGGAGCACGTGGTATGAATCTAAATCGATTTCCTTAGGTTTCTGGTCACTCTGAGTCATCCCCAGCAGAATCATTTCGTGAAAAAGTCGTTCTCCCTCCATCACCTGTGCAGCTTGTTCTGCCCTGTTTGTCACGGACGCTGGTTTCAGCGTTTTATTCCAGGCGTATCTCGGTCCCGGGCAGACGCGGGGCGATGGCTGCGTGTGTCTCCCCCAGGCCTTTGTTTTCAGCAGATCCCGTGTGACGAGCAGGTGCCGCGGGTCGTTGAGGAGGCCTAAAGCTGAATGCTGCTTGTGGGAGGAAAGAGGCTCCGCTGCCTCTCCAGATTGTGCCTTTCATTGGGCATTTTCACTTCTGGTGTATTACGACATGATTTTATTATTCCTTCCCTTTTCCCTCCCGTTGCACGCTGAAATGATAATAGTTAGATGTTGTATTTTTGTCAGGCTAATAAAGCAGCAAATCCGACAAGCTCTGCTTCTGATTCCGTTGTTCTTTCTCCGCCTTTTGTGGTTCAGTCTGCGGCCTCGTCTTTGGCTGTTGCTTGTCCCCTCCGTGGTCTTTGATGAGTCAGGCTGATCCCTAACAAAGAGGGTGGACTGCTGCCTGAAAACAATTCCGAGGCCTTTACATTTATTCTGGCAATATTGCAAGAAAAATTCAGCTAGAAAGGGGAAAACGCGTCAGAAATGGAAGGCCTGGTAGATTGTTGTGCATCAGAGGACGCAGAGACAGAGGTTGTGTTGTCTGGTTCATTTTGGTGCTGACGGTTCCAGCGTGTTGGTCGATAGCTCTGTGACAGCCGCCTCGCTTTCTCCACCAGTTCAACGCTGATACGGTTTTAATCGCTTCTGAGAACCTCTGGAGCTAAAACCACTTGTTTTAAACGCTCTGAAACCTCAGCGCCTCAGCTTTCGAATGGTTTGAAGTCTTTGTTGCGGGCTAGCTGCTGCGGTCGTGGGAAGGTCTAGCGTCGAAGATAAATATTTCATAGCTGTTTTGGTGTCTCATTGCTTCTGTTACAAGTGCTTTGGGAACCAATGAAGGTAGTGACAAATAATGGAAATAGTTTAAATCTTAATGAGGAAAACTAGGTGATTAGTGAGGGGCGGGGGTCAGGAAAGCAGGCAGCGGAATGCAGCGAATGTCCCTTTTCTGTGTGCGTGTGGGCTGCAGGAGAGCTGAGACGGGGCTGTACTGGATGTTGTCAGCACGGCTGACTTTCCGGTGACGGAGAGTAATTCGGGTGAGGTCCTGCAAGAGCTTCCCTTCTTTTTCTCCCAGGACTTTAGTTGTCCTTTTCCAGGGGAGAAAGACCACTTCTGTCTCCTGTTGGGGAAACACATCAAACAGCTGAAACCTGGAGCCCTCTCGTACTGCAGCCGCGTCTCCTGGCCTGCGGAGGCTGGCTCAGGCTGGAGCGGGCTCGTTCGTTTTGTGACCTCTTCTGCCTAAAAGCCTAGTTTTTTAAAAAAAAAAGTAAACAAAAGCACAACGTCTCTTGCTTATGTCTTAACTACAGTTACCCGCTGCTGAAGCTGCCGCTGCCCGGCACAGGCCCTGTGGAGTACAGCACCCCTGTGAAGGATTACTCTCCGCCCTCTCCAGGCGCGGGTCAGCAGCAGGGGGATCTCGGCGAGCGTCCCGACTGGGTGAGTCCTGCCCTGGGGGAGCTGGGGAGGTGAGGTGGCGAAACATCCCCGTGGTGTTGCCTGCGCTTCGCTGTCGTCGATGGAAAATACGTCTGGTGACGCGTTGCTGTGCCTGTCTGCTAAGTTCGGGCTCTGCTTGTCTTGGATTATATTGTGACACGTGCCCATTTTTCCAGCATAGCTTTCTGTAAGGCAAGCAGTACGCTTTTTAAGGCATTATTAGGTTTTAAATAAGTTCAATGGTGGGTTCTGGGATAACAGGCCCCAATTTCCTCACGCCGTACAAAGA